GGGTTATAGATGAAATTAAATAGTATCTATAATTAAATGATAATGCCAATACATTGTAACAGAACATAAGGAACACAATGAAAGCAGTCCTAGGAGGGAAATTTACAGCACTGAATACCCATAGCTGAAAAACAGAGCAAGCTCAAATAACCTACTGTTGAACCTCAAGCTTTTAGATCAAGGGCAGGTCATGCCTAAAGCTTGTAAAAAGGAGGATGTTATAGAGAACAGAGCAGAAGTTAAAGCAATGGAGACTAACAAAATAATACAAAGAATCAATGAAACAAAGAGTTCTGTGTTACATTAAATGAACTTGACAAACTCTCAGCCAACCTTATTAAAAACAAAAAAGACCCAAACACATACAATTGGGAATCAAAAGGTGGAAATCACAAGAAGCCCTACAGATATTCAGAAGATCCTCAAAACCAAACCTACTTTGAGAATGTGTATTGTAAGATAGAAAACAAAGAAGAAATAGACAGATTCCTAGTTACATATGAATTACCACAGCTGAATCAAGAAGGTATAAAAATTCTAAATAAATCAGTATCTGTCAGTGAAAGTGAAGATGTAATTAAAAACCCATCAATAAAGAAAACCCTAGCCCCTGACAGATTCACTGCTGAACACCACAAGAAATTTAGAGAAAACCTAATACTACTACTTCAGTCTCTTTTAAGAAATTGAAAGAGAAGCCATACTCCCAAATTCATTCCTGGAAGCATGTATTATCCTGATACCAAAACCAGAAAGGAATCCAATCAATCCTTGACTGCAAATTATACTACAAAGTTATTGTGATAAAAACTGGCAAAACAAAACAAAACAAAACAACCAGACTCAAGGATCAATGGAACAGATTTTAAGATGCAGAAACAACTCCAGCATACTCAATCATCTTATCTTTGACAAAGGAGCCAAACATACTCACTGGAAGAAAGATAGCTTCTTTAAGAAATGGTGCTGGAAAAAACTGGCTTTCCACATGCCAAAGATTACAACTAGACCCATATCCCTTCCCAGGCATTAAGCTAAAATCCAAATAGCTCAAAGACTTCAATATGAAAATAGAAACAACTCCAATCTGCTGGAAGACAGGTAGAACTGAAGACTTTGGTATAGGCAAAGATCTCATGGAAAAAAACCCCAATTGCAAAGCTTCTATCAGAAATAATCAACAACTTGGACTGCATCTTATTCAAAATCTTTTGAAAAGCAAGAGAAACTACCAAGAGAGTGAAGAGACAACCCACGCGATGGTAAAACATTTTTGCCAGCTGTTCCTCAGACAAAGGATTAATGCCTAAAATATATAAGGAGCTCAAAAATACAGAACCACCCCCAAATTCAAAAAATGGGCATCAAAAATGAACAGACCCTTCTCAGATGAAGAAGTAGCAATGCTAAAGAAATACATGAAATACACGATAAGGGGCTGGGCGTTTAGCTCAGTGGCAAAAGCACCTGCCTTGCAAGCAGGTAGTCGTGAGTTCGATCTCTGGTACCTCTCTCACTAAGTCACCTCTCCCATTAAATAGGCACCAGAAAAGCTAACATAAAAGAATAAACAATGGGGGCTGGGGATTTAGCTCAGCAGCATAAGTGCCTGCCTTGAAGCAGGTGGTCATGAGTTCGAGCCCTGGTACCAGTTTAAAAAAAAAAAAAAAAGAATGAACAGTGTCAGGGGTAAAGATGATATGCGCACTGACTTCTCACATGCTGTTGGTGTCAGTACAATGCCACTTTTAGCAATATCTCTTAAGGCTGAACAAATGCATGGGATATCTATCACTCCACAGTTCTCTGCTTTTTTTTTTTTTTTTTAAAGGATCCGAGGGCCAGGGATATAGCTTAGTGGCACAACTCCTGTTTGGCAACACAACGTCCTGAGTTCAAGTCCCATTACCTCGCCCCCCAAAAAAGACAGGTTCTCAGTATAAAGCCCAAGAGGGGCGCAAACTCGCAGTCTTCTTGCCTCAACATTCTGCCCTGCTGAGTTTATAGGCATATGCCGCCATGCTCAGCCATAGCTTCACTCTCATACACAAAAGAAATAATACACAAGAATACTCAGGATAGAATTGATAAAAACTGGAATCAACCTGAATGTTCATGAATAGAAAAGAACAAATTTTGATATATTGGTATGCTGGATTACCAGACAACAGATGAGAATAGGCAAAAAATATAGGACACAGGTAAATCTCATGAACAATGAAACAACCAAGAAACACAATATAGGTACTATTTTACTTCATTTAGTCAAGAAGAAGCAAAAATAATCAATGGTGAGAGATCAAGACCAATGTTAGAATTGGAGGAAAGGTACAAGGATTCCTCATTTAACCACCAAGTCCTATTCCTGTCAGTACAGCGTTAAAAGAATTAGTTGCTAAATGAGGAGCTGTATATAGTACATACATTACAACACTCAGCACAAAGAAATGGTCAAAGGAAACTCCAACTTGATGACTTTGCCTTTATTTGCACAACTTCTATGCAGTATATAATGTACAACAGAACATGAAACTACAGTACCATAGAGTACCATCAGAAAAAGTATAGTACTGTATAAACATTACAAACTAAAAAAAAAAAAAAAAACCATTGAGAGTCTCTGAACCAGATGTGCAGAACTTTACAAAAAACAAAAAAAGAGGAGGCATAAGTCTGAGCAGCAGGGAAGTCCAAACAGTTGTTAAGCAGGTAATTAAATGAGAAACACCTGTACTGGAAACTAGGCAGGGGCTTCCAGTGTTTCATTTTGATGTAGGAACTGTTTCTCAAGTGTGTTGGCTCTATGGAAAATTCGCTGAGAAGATTTCTGATATTTGCTATAGTTGGGGGCCTTCATTCTGAGGAGCATTCTCTGCTCTCTTTTTATTTTTTATTTAAGACAACTGCTAAGTTTCTCAGGCTGGGCTCAAAATTTTGATCCTCCTGCCTTGGCCTCCCTAAGGGTTGAAGATTCCAGGAATGCACTACCATGCCCAGCCTTTTACTTCAATTTTTAGAAGTAGGGCACATTCTGACCTGCCTACCTAATGTGCCAAAAGTACACCGGGCACTTACTTGACAGGCCTCTCTAGTCAAACAACTACCAAAGATGAGCCTGATTCCAGGAAAGGAAAAGGACCAAAACAAGTTTGTTTCATGGTTTCTGTGTTTCTGAAATGCTGCATCAGGTGCTCAGATGGTGACGGGACCTGGTGGCATCATCACATTATGCACTAAACTAAGCATTTCCAGGCTGCTACACTGAGAACCCCCCAGAAACAAATCACCAGGCAACCACCTCATCAGCAGGTGTGACAACACCCACTGCCTGAAACCAACTCTACAAAACTCCTGTCACTTCCCTCTCAGGTCCTGCCTGCCTGTTTTTTCCAAAAACTGAATAGATTAACTATGTATTAGATAAACTGTAGATATATCTCAAATTATAGTCAATATATTACAAAAACAAAACTAAACCATCACAAATTTACAAATACCTGTATATACTATAAAATCCTTCACATAAACTGCTCCCCATTACCTCCCTACACAAATACAAGTTGGCCAGTTCTTATAATCTTCTATAGTAAAATCTGACCTAAATAAACTCTGACATTTATAAGATTCCAATGAGAAAAATCTTAATGTGACTAGGAGGGATGGAGCTCAGTGACAGAGCACTTAGGCAAACACAAATGAAGCCCTCCTTCAACCCTATGCTCCACAAAAGCAAACAATTTACTGATTTTCTAACCAACAAAAGAAACATATAGCACTAACATCAAATTATTGTTTCTAAAAAGGAAATTCAAATGCTTGGCTTATTAATCTTTCAGGAGAATTGACTATAGCCAACAAATACATTAGGGCTAGTGTTCATTTGCCGATTTATCACTGCAGGCTCATCATGACAGCATAGATGTATGCTTATTCAGGTCTACCTGAATGGACCAGAAAGGCAACTATTATGAACAAGTAAAATGGTACTCGATGGCTTATAAACACCTAAATAATAAGCTACTTATCTCCCACTATGCTGTGTACCATTTACCTTACATTTTTCTAGTTTTACTATGTTCTCCCTTCGCATGCCATTCAGTCTCCATTTAATTCCACAAGAGGCAGTTTTGAGATACTGGGCTGAATGTAATATAATTAAAGAAAGAACTACAGTTGTTTCCAACTTTGAGGTGGTTTTTACTTTTATATATTTGTTTTTGGTACTGGGGATCAAACTCATGACTTTATGCTTGCCAGGCAGAAGCTTATGCTGCTGAACTAAATCCCCAGCCCAGTTGTTTTAAACTTAGAAGTCTAGTCTAAAAGGAGAAAGTTCCTAAAGAATAAATTTCCAGTTTTCTATCCCATATTACAAATGTGATTTACAAACACCGGTATTCTGTAAAGATCGTCTGTAAAAATTTTTCTCTGTGAAATCAATCCTTGTCTACCAAATTTCAAGGGCTAGAGATAATATCTCAGCAGCAACAAGCATCTGCTTGGCAAGAGCAAGGTCCTCAGTTCGATTCCTGATACCAAAAACAAAAAAAAAATTATTATCTACTAAATTTCATTAGAAAACTGCAAATCCTTGAGATACAATCCTAAACACACATACAATTCCTGAGATACAAGCCATGGGAAGCCTACATTAAGCAAGAGATCTCACAAAACAGAATCAAAGAAACCAAGGACCATGCCGCTTGGTTGTTGTTTCAAGTCTTTTTAAAAAACCTTCAAAGTGCATTCCCAAATCTTTAGCAGTTCCTCAGCGAAGAGTGAAAGTAGTAAGATATTTTCACATGACTTTACAGAACACTAGTTTGTTTGCCCTAAGTAGCTGAATCTCCAGGAACTCTGCATGCGCTTACAAACACTAGGAACTATCATTTGACAAGTGGTTGGTTACACAAAATATACAGGTACAAAAACAAAAGATGGTACCACAGAAAGACACGTAACAGAAAAAACCTGTAGTTTCAGGTGAAAACCACACATACCTGTGGAAGCGCAGTATTGAGTTGTCTCTGCAACGAATCTCTCTCATGACCAACCTCGAGTAATTTCCCCTGGGTCAACGCCAATGTTTCTTGAGTCTCTATCAGTGTGCTCTGAGCAATGTCTGTTTCTTCTAGCATGGACATCATGTGCTGTTCAAAATGGGAATCTGCATCTGGTTGTGAAGGGCAGCCAGATCCATGGTTTTCACTTCCTCCTGAAGGGCCTTCTTCACTGATGGTGGGCATCACCTCACACATCATTTTGGAACAAAAACACAGGACTAGTCATTATACGGAAAATACAGGTTCCCACAAATCTACAACTTTATGAGTATCTGTAGCTAATAAAGGAAAGCTGACAATCTCTTTATTCACAGATCTGTTATTCTTTGGATGCAAATACTCTGTGAAGATACACCCAGGCACCCATTAAATGCAGAAAGCCACCACATGAAGACACTAAAGAAGACAACAACGCTGGGAAGATGTAAGGCCCAAAGAGAGCTACTTATTTCTCCTATAAAGAATAGAGCAAACCATGTGAGGTTTTGTTTGCAAAAGCAAACTTTTTAGTTTTGAAAACAAGTGCGCTTCTGTTACCTAGTTTTTTTCTATTTCCTGGTAGGGGCCCATTCCACTCAATCCTTTTTCAGGAAAAGCACAGAAGCAGTATACAGCCAGGAAAACTGACAAGTACAAAATCCAACAGGCATCTTACATCTTACATCTTATTGACTGTGTGCAGTCAGCTCCTGGGAAGGCCTGCCTGAATTCTTGGGCTTAATTTAGTGAACACAGAAAGGAATTGGATTTGCTATGGCTCAAGAGAGATGTTTTTCAAGGACTGCAGTGGTTGTTCAGTCAACCTAACTTAAGTTTACAGCTAAAAAAAAAAAAAAAAAAAAAAGAAGGCTTCACAATGGAAATACAGCAGTTCAGTACAGTGGAGAATGGTTAGGAAGGAAAGGTGAGAGGTACGATCATGAGAGGCTATTAAGTGTGTCACATAGACAGACGGGCCTAATGAGGGCGACAGGGATCGCTGAAGACTTCCAGGTAGTACCCCAGGCAGGTGCGACCCTCCAGCAAGAGATCCCCGCGACCGCACACCTGACCACGATGATTTCTAGCACCTCACCGGGTGCTGTACAAGTTCTGGCCCCACTTACCCTAGAGCTTTCCAGGACGCGGCCATACAGGCGAGTCCACAGTGCCATCACTGGGGTCTCCTGGGCAACGTGCAGTGGTTTAGAATCCGTCCCTCGAGACCTAGGGGGTCCTGCTAGCCGCGAGCAGGACCAACCGCCAGCGCAGGACCAACCGCCAGCCAAGCGCTGAAGCTTTGCCCCCGCCCACGCGCACCCCCGGGTGACATTTGGCGGGTGGCCCCTGGCCAGCTCCAACCTTCCTGCCTCAGTCTCCCGCTCCTTACCTTGCGCGCATTTTTTTTTTTTTTTTTTGTCTTTTTCATTTTTATCGGTACCAGGGATTGAACTCACGACCGCCTGCTTGCAAGCAGGTACTTATGCCGCTGAGCTAAATCCCCAGCTCCCCGCGCGCAGTCTTTTTAAACATTGCGATATAAAACAAAAACCATTCTTAAAAAGCAAAAAGGGTTCAGTTGACTTAAGAGTTGTCATCACTCGGGGGCTGGGGGTTTAGCTCAGCGGAATAAGCGCCTGCTTTGCAAGCAGGCAGTCGTGAGTTCGATCCCCGGTACCGATAAAAAGGAAAAAGACAAAAAAAAAAAAAAAAAAAAAAAAAAAAAAAAAAAAGAAGGCTTCACAATGGAAATACAGCAGTTCAGTACAGTGGAGAATGGTTAGGAAGGAAAGGTGAGAGGTACGATCATGAGAGGCTATTAAGTGTGTCACATAGACAGACGGGCCTAATGAGGGCGACAGGGATCGCTGAAGACTTCCAGGTAGTACCCCAGGCAGGTGCGACCCTCCAGCAAGAGATCCCCGCGACCGCACACCTGACCACGATGATTTCTAGCACCTCACCGGGTGCTGTACAAGTTCTGGCCCCACTTACCCTAGAGCTTTCCAGGACGCGGCCATACAGGCGAGTCCACAGTGCCATCACTGGGGTCTCCTGGGCAATGTGCAGTGGTTTAGAATCCGTCCCTCGAGACCTAGGGGGTCCTGCTAGCCGCGAGCAGGACCAACCGCCAGCGCAGGACCAACCGCCAGCCAAGCGCTGAAGCTTTGCCCCCGCCCACGCGCACCCCCGGGTGACATTTGGCGGGTGGCCCCTGGCCAGCTCCAACCTTCCTGCCTCAGTCTCCCGCTCCTTACCTTGCGCGCAGTCTTTTTTTTTTTTTTTTTTTTTTTTTTTTTTTTGTCTTTTTCATTTTTATCGGTACCAGGGATTGAACTCACGACCGCCTGCTTGCAAGCAGGTACTTATGCCGCTGAGCTAAATCCCCAGCCCCCCGCGCGCAGTCTTTTTAAACATTGCGATATAAAACAAAAACCATTCTTAAAAAGCAAAAAGGGTTCAGTTGACTTAAGAGTTGTCATCACTCGGGGGCTGGGGGTTTAGCTCAGCGGCATAAGCGCCTGCTTTGCAAGCAGGCAGTCGTGAGTTCGATCCCCGGTACCGATAAAAAGGAAAAAGACAAAAAAAAAAAAAAAAAAAGAAGGCTTCACAATGGAAATACAGCAGTTCAGTACAGTGGAGAATGGTTAGGAAGGAAAGGTGAGAGGTACGATCATGAGAGGCTATTAAGTGTGTCACATAGACAGACGGGCCTAATGAGGGCGACAGGGATCGCTGAAGACTTCCAGGTAGTACCCCAGGCAGGTGCGACCCTCCAGCAAGAGATCCCCGCGACCGCACACCTGACCACGATGATTTCTAGCACCTCACCGGGTGCTGTACAAGTTCTGGCCCCACTTACCTTAGAGCTTTCCAGGACGCGGCCATACAGGCGAGTCCACAGTGCCATCACTGGGGTCTCCTGGGCAACGTGCAGTGGTTTAGAATCCGTCCCTCGAGACCTAGGGGGTCCTGCTAGCCGCGAGCAGGACCAACCGCCAGCCAAGCGCTGAAGCTTTGCCCCCGCCCACGCGCACCCCCGGGTGACATTTGGCGGGTGGCCCCTGGCCAGCTCCAACCTTCCTGCCTCAGTCTCCCGCTCCTTACCTTGCGCGCAGTCTTTTTTTTTTTTTTTTTGTCTTTTTCATTTTTATCGGTACCAGGGATTGAACTCACGACCGCCTGCTTGCAAGCAGGTACTTATGCTGCTGAGCTAAATCCCCAGCCCCCCGCGCGCAGTCTTTTTAAACATTGCGATATAAAACAAAAACCATTCTTAAAAAGCAAAAAGGGTTCAGTTGACTTAAGAGTTGTCATCACTCGGGGGCTGGGGGTTTAGCTCAGCGGCATAAGCGCCTGCTTTGCAAGCAGGCAGTCGTGAGTTCGATCCCCGGTACCGATAAAAAGGAAAAAGACAAAAAAAAAAAAAAAAAGAGTTGTCATCACGAAGAAAAAATAACCCCAAGCGATAACACACGTGAATTAGCTCAGTTTAGCTGTTCTGCAGTGTGTACACATATCAAAATATGTGACAGACTGGGCGACGTGGCACACACCGCTGTTCCCAGCTCGTGGGAGGCTGAAGCAAGAATGCTGTGGGTTCAAGGACAGCCTGAACTACAGAGCAAAAGTGTCTCAAAAATCCAAGGAACAAAAACAAGTAGCATGTTACCAATCATAAATATAGACAAATTTTGATCCTGCCAATTAAAACTTGAGGAGGGGAGTCTGGGAGTGTGTCTCAGTGTCAGGGTGCCTGACTAGAGCGTGTGTGAGGGTCCTGGTTCTGTATCCTGCACCACAGAAAAGTGGGAGGAAACATCACATGGAGAAATCACCAAACGTGGGTCCCTTGATTCTTCATGCCATCAGGTTTGCATCATTTATCAAGCAAAGCACCTTCTGGGCACCCAGCAGTCACCTAGTGGAGAAAGGGACTCTGTGGTCAGACACAGACCATGCCAACCACCAAGTAATGAAGACTGGATGGTCTGTGGAGACTCTGGTGACACCACAAGCTTGATAACCTAAAGAAACAGTGTCCCTTCAGTTTTGTAGGTCTGGATCTGGCAAGGGTCTTCCTGAGCTAAAGACATGGTATGGCCAGGCTGCCTTCCTTTCTGCAGGTCCAGTGGAAAATCCACTTCCTCCTGCCTCCAGTTTCTGGAGGGACTTGTGGATTCTGCCCACTTTCCTCAACTTCAGAGCTGGCAGTAACAGTCAAGGTCCTCTCCCATCCCACCACGGTGACTCTGAGCTCTTAGCCTCCCTTTGCTTCTTTTTCATTTTTATCGGTACTGGGGATCGAACTCACGACTGCCTGCTTGCAAGGCAGGTGCTTATGCCGCTGAGCTAAATCCCCAGGCCCCTCCCTTTGCCTCTTGAAGACCCCTTTGATTATGCTGGGTCGACTCAGAAATTTCTAATCTCTGTTGGACAAGTTTGTTTTCAGCAGGGTGTGGCAGCATACATCTATAATTCTAGCTGAGGCAGGAGGATTGCTGCAAGGTGAAGGTCAGCCTGGGCTAGCTACATAGAAGTTCAAGGCCAGCCTGAGCTATGAAAAAGACCCTGTCTCAAAAAGCAAACAGACAACAAGATATATTTTCGTTATGGTAAAACACACACAAAACTTCCCATCTGAACCATGTTCAGGTGCACAGGTCGGGGGCATTAGGTATGCTCACACTACTGACCAGCTGTCCCCACGTCCACCTCCAGAATGTCCTCATCTTCCCACACTGAAGCTCTGCCCCCTTAACCACTGATTCCTCAGCGCCCTCTTCCTGCTTCCATCTGCAACCGAATTCTCCCGTGCCAGACAGGACATTCTCACAAATCCCGGGGATGACAAGGTGGGCTTCTGTGGGAAGTCACTGTTCTGCCTGGAAAAGCGCCCTGGGCCTACTGAGTCTCACAGTGCACCTGAGAGGTGGGATTTCCTTATTTACTAGGAGGAAGTTTCATTAACAGAGAAATTAACCACATTAAATCTAGATGGCTTGTTTATGGGAAATCTTACAGAGCAGAAATGACAACTGAGCTGTCTGGCTCATGGAATTTTTAAATGTTCATTGAATAAGCACTATTGTAACAATGATAATGTTGGGGGAAAAACAACCTCGCCACGCAGCCTGTGTTTACTGTACTTGAATGACTATATTCCTTACATGGCGTCACCTTCACAATCATAATCAAAAGCAAGGGGGCTGTTTCCGTGGCAGAAAATGTCAGAAGAAAGAAGAAAAAACAGAATTCACAACACTGGATGGAAGCAAGGACCTGAAGGAATCTTGGTGTCTCCAGAAAAGCCAGTTACTCAATGTATCACTGTATCACATTGCAATACATGCTCAAATCATTCCATGCAGTTGTTGCTTTGAGCTGGGTCTTGTTATGTTGCCTAGACTGGCCTGGATTGTCTGGGCTCAGGCAAGCCTCAAAGTGCTGAGACCAAAGGCATGTGACACTGTGCCTGGCCCATCCAGCTGGGAAGGTGTGTCCTGGCACTTGAGCATGTGAAATGCTTCTAGCAAGCACCTGACTAGAGAGAGAGAGCTGTCTTGTCTTTTGGTTTTTGGAAGACGAGGACTCATTATCTAGTTCAGGCTGGCCTCAAACTTTCAGCAATTCTCCTGTCTCAGCTTCAAGAGTGTGCCACTTCAGCTAGTTGAGGTGGCTGTTTTTAATCCTCCTCAGATAAAGAAGCTGAATATCTGCAAGCCAGTGTAGGAGGCAAAGCACCTGCCCACTCTACCAGCGTCTGCAGGGTGCAAGAGCACAGGGCACAGCTCTGGGGCACCTGTGTTCTCTTCTTGGTTACACAATCTGTAGCTGGAGGTAATAATGAAGGTGGAACCAGCTGTTCCCCACCAGAGCCCTCCCTCACCAGTCATTCCACATGCAGGGACAGCACCCGGGACATGCTCCGTTAACTCCCATGCAGTCCCTTTCTGGACATCTTTGGTTGAACAAGGACCAGCAAAAGTATCTTCCACACACAAGACAAGAAGTTTCACCTGCTCTCAGTTTTCCTTCTCTGTGTGCACTTCAGAGCTGCCCAAAGTGGCCATCAGAAACTGCAGTGCTTCCCAGAGACCCTTGCTGCCTCCATACCATGAAATCACTCCTCATGGCTGGGCCTCAACAGAGAAAAGCCTGCTAACCTCTGACCTCCAGCTTCCGGTGGCTGAGAGCACAAAGGGGCCCAGAAACCCAGTCCCGAGTTGTTCCTCAGACTAAAGGGGTCCTTGAGATCAAACTTAAGAATTACAGATGTATGACTCAACAAAATGGAAAGGGACCTGTCCACTTTGTGTCCTGGGTCTGCAAGGCCCCTGCCACATCTATGGTCACAGAGCAAATGGGTAAACAGTGGGCAATGGAAA